TGAGAAGAATGTATGCGACAGCTTATTGGGCACAATTCTAGACATTGACGGAAAAAGTAAGGATACGGACAAGGCGAGAATCGATCTGCAACATATGAGGGTGCGCCAGGAGTTACATTTGTACAAAGACGGTGATCGTTGGATGAAACCACATGCGTCTTATACATTATCTCCTGACGACGGTAAAAAGTTTTGTGACTTTTTAAAATCAGTAAGGTTTCCTGATGGATTTGCTTCAAATTTAAAGAAAAACGTGATCGAAGGGAAGAATAAAATTACGAGGCTAAAATCACATGACTGTCACATTATAATGCAGCAATTATTGCCAATAGGGATATGACCATTCATGAAGAAAGAGATCGTTGATGCAATAATAGAATTAAGTAATTTTTTTGAGTTAATATGCTCAAGGACATTGTGAAAAAGTGATTTAGAGAAATCTCAACAAGATATTGTGCTTATTTTATGCAAGTTAGAAACAATTTTTCCTCCTGCCTTTTTTGATCTAATGGTACATTTAGTTATACACTATCCTGAAGAAGCCATTCGAGGAGGACCGGTTCACTTAAGATGGATGTATCCGTTTGAACGTTTTCTTGGATCGTCAAAGAAATATGTCAAGAATCGTGCACATCCTGAGGTTTTGATTGCTGAGGCATACATTGTGAACAAAGCTCTGACTTTTTGTTCATTGTATTTAACTGGAGTTGAAACACGGTTTAACCAACTGGCCAGAAATTGGGTAGACGATGAAGATCGTACTGTTGAAAAGATTTCTGTATTCGAAACTCGCTATCAGCCAATTGGGAAGATGACCCCCATCACTTTGGATACTAATTTGTGAGAGAAAGCCGAGTGGTACGTACTACAGAACTGTCCAGAAATTCAGCACTTCATTAAGTAAGTACTACTTTCAGTTTTGTTACTTAATTGTTCATTGATTGTGTTGCATACAATCGTGTCCCTTACTTTCATTCTCTATTAAATAGTGACCATAAGAGGGAGATTGATGATGGCGGTCGAACCATACCATTGGATGAAATTCAATCGAAAGAGTTTCTAAAATGGTTTAAGAATAAGGTACATTTATAATTAATTTGCATTAACATTGTTGAGTCATTAAAAATTTCGTTTTAAAAAGAATTCATGTCTCCTTAGAGATTTTCAATATTCGACAGCAGAATGACCCAGAAGCGAATGATCAAATACTTTCGCTTTCAAGTGGTTCAAGCTTTTCATGTCGAAGTTATCTTGTTTGTGTGGTGAACGGTGTCAAGTTTCTGATACGCAATCGGGATATGAGTTAAAGTACTCAAAATAGTGGTGTTTGTGTTCGCGGACCTGATAACGTAACGTATTATGGAGTTTTGGAAGATATTTATGAACTGTCCTAGTTGAACGACAATTCTGTTGTGCTTTTAAGTGTCTGTGGTTTGACACTCGTCCGGGGAAGAAAAAGATTCAACACTACAAAAATAGAATAAGTGTTTTTATTAAAGACACGTGGTATGAAAACGAACCTTTCATACTTGCATCCCAAGCAAAGCAAGTTTTTTATGTAGATGATTTATTTAACAGTCCAAACTGGAAGGTTGTAGAACACTTCATACATCGACATATTTGGGACATTCCAGAAACTGACATTGATGACGTGATGATAGTCCCGGATACGGAGTCTACAAATATTGAGTTAGTGGTTGAACTACCAGAGCCTGACTCATTTGTATTGAATCGACATGATGTATCGTCTAAGGTTGTCACCTCTGATGTTGATGCAATAATGAGAGATAAGTCTCCCGTAGTTGATGATTTTATTAATGACAATGACGATGAAACTTTAGATGAGTACGTTGAGGAGGAAGTCATCGAATCTGAAGACGATGATGACATAAATGATGATGGGGATAATCAACAATGTAGCAGCGACGATGAGTAGAACGGCAGAATAGTAATCTTTGTCCTATTTCTCAGCATTCATTTTAATATTATGATATTCTGTGAATTTATAAATATTGTTATTAATATGAATTTGTTCACAGGAATTGATGGCTGGTCAGGTAGCGACTTGCGTTGGCTCTTCAGGGGGAGCACAGCCTCCTCCCGGTCCTCATAGAGTCCCCACATTCTGTGAGTCTGGTACGTTATTATGACTTTTTTCCCATTCTATCATGTAGTAAATAAATGTAGTAGTACATGTTGATTTGAAATGCTTACATATGTTTACAGCACCTGAACCTCGATAACGTAGAGGTCGAGGTGGGGTGAATGGTTATGAAATCGCCCAAAAGATCCTTCAAGACAGAAAAATCACAGTAGAATTTGATGAGGCGGGAAGTACTTGGAAGGTGCTTGGTAAATATGGTTCCTGGTTTGAAAGTGCAGTTGGTATTCATACCAGGGACATATGCGAGTCCTTCCATGATGCTCAGAAGGACATTAGCGACAGGGACAAGAAGACAATCCAGAACCGGATGCTGATATTTTTTTCTGCAATAATTTGTATAGTTTATACTAAAGTTAACAATGCGTTTTAACGATGTGAAACTATTTTGCAAGGATTGGTTTAACATGGACTACAACTATAAGAACGGTATTCTGAGGTCCGTTGTTGATAGGGAGGCAGCAAAGTGTTACAAGGATTGGAAAAGTTCCCTGCACCGCCACTTCAAACACTATGGTAGAGAAAGTCTCCCGAGTAACATGAGGAATCAACTTCATTAGGATCGTTACTGCGATAGGTTCTCCGGTGACAAATTTCAAGTAATTATAGATTTATTAGAACTTAATGGTTTTTTATACATAATTTTAAGTAACTATTACTTATTATAGTTAATTATAAACAAAAAATATCAGAGATAAATAAAACTAATCGTAGCAACTAAAAGTATCCAAGCTTACATGGTCAGGTATCGTACTCTCAGCATCGCAATAAGAAGGTTAAGTCATTATGCTGCCGAAATTTAGTTAGAATTTAAGAATTTTAACAAATGTAATTTATTTGACAGTTCAGTACGGAGACCCAAGAGCTGATGTTGCCATAGACAATTGGGCAGACATGTATCGTCGCAGGGCCTCTTACGTTAATCTCCAAGCGGAACAGACTTTTGTAAGTATTTTTACTTTTCATATTAAATTTTTTTACACTAAAATAATGGTTTTATAAGACGTAAAAACAATTATAATGTCTTATATTATGTAGAACACCCTAGAGGAGGAGAGACAAACTCAGAGAACACAATCTACTTCAAGCTCGACTAGACCCGCCTTTGACGAGCATAGGGTTTTGGAGCAAGTTCTTGGCATGCGTAGAGGACATAAGATAGGAGTGGGTCCGACGCTCTCCCAAAAGCATTACTCCGGGACTTCTCCTTCATCTGCTGGTTCATACTCAGATGAAACATCATCGGCTCAACCTGACCCACGTGTGAGTCGTTATTTAAAGAAATCGTACCAGGAACAAGTTAAGATTTATAACAATCAGGTGAAGCTGTTAGAGTTGATGACTAAATTACAGCTAAACATCCAATTACCTACGATTGATCGTCCAGAACCAGTTGACCTAGATGCTCTTCTGCATCCTTCAGATGATGACAGTCCTGATGATGATTCAGCTGTTGGCGATGCGGCAAACTTAGACGATTAGTTCCGTTATATGTACTATTTTATTTTTCACTTTATTTAGACTTTTATATTTTTTTAAACATTATATATGCACTTCAATAGATTTACTGTTTTTAATATAAATTTATATTTCACTTTTAATGTATCTTAATAAATTACATTAAATATGTAACATAATAATTTTTAATTAAAATTATTAAAAATTAATTAATTGCCATTTTTTAAAAATTATAAAAAAAATTTTATTTCGGTTTTTTCTGACAACTTTTTTAGATTTGTCGTCGCAAAAAAACTAGGTTATTTGCGACGACAATTTGAAATGTCATCGCAAAAAATTATAATAGCACGAGAATTTTGCAACGGCGTATTAGCGACGCCTGTCGTCGCAAAAACATTCTGTCGTCACAAAGACGATTGCGACGACACTATGTCGTCGCAAAAAAAAGTCAAAAACTAATTATTTGCGACGACAAATCTGCGACAACACGTCATCGTAAAAATCATTATTTGCGACAACATGCGGGTTTTTGCAAAGACTTTTTGTCGCCGCAAAAACACATTTTTCTTGTAGTGTAAGTAATCCAATGGTCCATATCATCTAATTCCTTTTTTTCCTTTAAATGCAATAGTCAAGATTATACACTCGGGCTCTTGTATTCTCTCACACCTCATACTATAATCTTGTTTTTTTTTTTTTTTTTGGTAAATATACTTCAATCTTATTAGTTTATTAGAGAGACTTGCTTTAAACATGTGCATGGCAACCACTTTTTAATATAATCTCAAACATTGTTTAAAAAATTATCTTCAATATTGCCTATCTAATTAGTTACTTGGCATATATTTTGTCAACATTTGCTTGGCCTTGGCATATTTATAAGTTACTTTGCTGCGAAAGGTTGATTATTAAATTTTCATTGAAGTGAGTGTATATAGCATTATATATTTCGTCACAAAATTGGCCAAATTGTAATAGTGAAATAAGGCAAAAAAAAAAAAAAAAACGAAATGTTTCGTTCATTTAGGAAGCACCATCACGAAACTTATTCAAGATGGGTATATATATATATATATATATATATATTTATATT